GACGGTCTGCATTTATCCAAAATTACTTATTTGTTCCAAATTGCACATCTTTAGTCCAAGTTTCCTGAAAAGTCTTTTAAAACTCTAAAACATAGAAATCAGTTAAAAACCATTGCAAACAGAGTTAAAACACCTGCATAAGATATTAAAATGATCCATAAAAATGGTTAAAATCCGGTGTTATCAACTCCCCAAGACATAAACATTTGTTTGTCCTCAAACAAAACATAGATCAAGCCAGGAAAAGGATCCTTAAAAATCCGCAGGAACTAAACAATATCTCAGTGACCGTCCTTCTAAACCATAACCTATCGTAAAACTTCTATCTGGATCTAGTCTAGAAAATCCTCACCAAAATACAAACATAACTAGTCCGTTGATCCGTCATGCAAAAATCTACACATTTAGATCTAACTTCCAGTAAACTAGCTCTTTACATTCATTAAGTGCACAGTGAATTCTCATGAAAAACATCATTCAGGGTAGACGGCATTTGGTAGTTAAGGACTATTTAAGTGGTGGAGTTTAAGTGTTTCGGTTTACCTGAAGAACTGGAGGATGCAAGATATTATGCAAAACTGTAAGAGAGATAGAAGGACCTGTTGATGACCGCAGATTTTCAGTCACTTCTCCTTTGCCAAATGCTGTGGCATAATCTTCCTCCATTGTTGTAAACAGCTACTCCCCCATAAAGATAATCTCCAAAACTCCAAATAATCAGATTAAAGCTTGCCTCAAGTATAAAACTCGATCCTCCTAGACTCTCTAAGGTTTTAAATTTCCTTTCCCTTCTTCTTTTTTCCTTTCTTTTTTTTTCTTTTTTCTTTTCTTTCTCTTTTTTTCGGATATATTATTTTTGTTTTTTTTTTGAAAGGCGAAACAACCTTTTATAGATAGGGAGTCTAAGGGACTGATATATTCATAAATTGCATCATTTAATGTACATATTCTAGTCCAAATCATGTCTCATTTGCATGCATTTTAGGTCTTTAGGCATTGTTTTAGGACTTAGGAGATTGCATTAGGTCCAAGAGAGTTTTGCATGTTTTGGAGTGTTAAACAGGTGCTTTTGGAGCCTATTTGGAGTGGAGGATGTGATTCAGATGAAGAAATGGAGTTGAAATGATCAAAAATGGTGAAAAGGAGCAATTTTGGGTTTCTCAGCAAAATGCTGTACTGATGGCCGAAGATTCTCGGCCAAAATCCTTCCCGCGGGTAGCTCTCTCGGCCAAAAACACGTACCGCGGTCAAGTATCTCGGCCAAAAATCCCGGGTGCAGATACATTTCCGAAATCGCATCACCGGAAGCTCTTGCCGGCCTATTCAGCTTACAAAGTTTTCAGCAAAGTTGGAGATAATTGAGTCAAGAACCCAGGACAGGTTGAATCAGGGCATTTGGAGCATTGATCGGAAAGATACGGTCACCGGAAGACAGAGATCGCCTGTCCGGGGAACCTTCCGGTCCGATTCAGTTGTCTGGTGCTTCATCAAATTTGTTGAAGATTGGATCATGTTTCCATACCAGGTGGGATCATAGAATTTGGAGGCGTGAGTAGAGAGTTAAGCTCACCGGAAGGCACGCCTGTCTCGCTACCGTTTTGGACCGACCCGATGAGCTCCGTAAATGGCAAAGGACGATGCACTTCCAGACCGATTCAGTCTACAGGTCCGTCATCAAGATTTTAGATTTGTGAGTCCTCTTTCCAGAACGTTTGATATCATTCAATTTGAAGCCATGAGCAAGACGATAACGTTTCCGGAATGGACACATGTCTAGAAGCCTCTTTCTGACCGTGTCAATGTACTGCAAAGATGAGCCCTCCGGGGAACCTTCCACTTCCCAAGCGCTGAGGGTTTCTTCATCACGATTCGAGATAATTGAGTCCTCTTTCCAGAACAGTTGAGATCGTTCCATTTGGAGTTGTGAGGCGTGAGTTCCGGAAGAATAGAGACACACCTATCCTTCGAGCACCAAGAGCGTGGAAATTGTGCTAAGTGTAAGGAAGGCACGGTGGAATGCCACGGTCCACATCTGACCGTGGCACTTGATGCAATCCTTCGGGGTTTGACACGGTCACGGTCTACACTTGACCGTGGCAAGACAACACTTGGGATCCTTTAGAGCTTCGGGACTTGACACGGCCATGCATGATGACCAAAGGGAACCCGTGGCACCAAGATTCATCCAAGAACAGAAGCTTCGGGACTTGACACGGTCACTTGCCACGGCTTGACCAAGAGCTGCTAGACCGTGGCAAACCTCATCTTTACCCACCAAAGTCGGGTCAGTATCCGGTTTGTTCCGGGCTGACCCGGTCCATAATACTTAGTATAAATACTTTTTTGGGAAAAAAACCCTAAAGAACATCTTCTTCTCTCTTAGTTTCTCTCTTGTTTTCTTTCCTTTTCAGTGTAAAGACGAGTTTGATCAAGAGATATCTAGCAGATTTAATCATCTTAAGGCTGTTTCTTATCATCTGATTATCTCATTTCTGCTTCTAATCATGATTAACATCATCTCTTGCAAAAGATTAGATGTGTTCTTCATGATTAGTGAGTGTCATCTTTTAAGCTTCTAGGTGTGTAGATTAGGGTGCTTAGATGTTTTATTTATGATGTTTAGGGTCTAGATTCTCATTTCATTTCCTTAGTTAGCTGTTCCTAATGCTAGATCTTTGCACATCACTCTGGTCTAGAGCTTAGGCAAATCTCCACCCATAAGGTGTTTGATGAAATGCCTGAATGAAAGCTAACTAAGGGTATATGCATTAATGCCATGGGAATATTTGTTAATTGCATAAATGACATATTAGAACTGTTTCTTAATGCTCATTATTTCATATTTCACAAATGGGAATTTGGTTTGAAAGTGGATTAGTGTAGACATTAATGCCTTCATGAGAGGATTAGTCTAGATTAGAGTTCTAAGTTGAAATGTTTGAGATCATGTGATTGCTTGCTATGTCTTTCTGTGTAAGATTCAGTCTTCTTGGTTGAGAGATTGTTTGGTCACTTATTAGGCTTGATGCATTATGCTTGTTGATTGCTTGATTATATCTAATGGTTGTTAGACTTGATTAAGTGATTAGAAAAGGGATTATTGTCATGGGAATGAATTAATCTGCTTTTGAAGTCTAGACTAAAGAGTAACTTGCATTGCATTATTGTTCTTAGCATCATGAATTAATATCTACAGCACCCTAATCAATGATCACATCTAGAGGTTTAGCTTTTATCATTTGCTTAATCATCATCACTTTGTTTTGTTTGCTTTCTTTGTTTAGTTCATTCATCATAGCTTGCTTGTTTCTTGCTTTATGCTTTCTTGTTACTTTGTTCACACCAAAACTCATCTTTGATCACTTGACTTAAGAGCTTATCACATAAACTAGTGCCTAACTACCACACATATGGATTGACACCCCTTATACTACTTTGACAAGGGGATTGATAACCCTTCTTAAGGCCGGAAAAACCTTTAGTTATCAATTGGCGCCGTTGCCATATTGTGTGGGGATTGTTAGCATTAGTTTCTGATATAGTTTTTGAGATCAAGTTTATTTTGTTTTACTGATCACTTTTCAAGCCCTGTCTTTGTTTTCAGGTTTATGATCACAAGAAGCCAGGCCAGAAGACAAAGAGAAAGAGCTGTTCACTTGGAGAGGTTAGGAATGAATCAGCAAGTTGGGAATGAGCATCAGGCTCAAGAAGCTGATCACGGTCAAAGAGCTGCTAATGGGATTGGAATTCAAGTTCAACAGGCTCAGGTCCATCAGGGACACGCTCAGGATAACCAGAACCAAGACTGACCTCAGGTTAATCCACCACAGAATAACCATCTTTATGCTTTCTTGTTACTTTGTTCACACCAAAACTCATCTTTAATCACTTGACTTAAGAGCTTATCACATAAACTAGTGTCTAACTACCACACATATGGATTGACACCCCTTATACTACTTTGACAAGGGGATTGATAACCCTTCTTAAGGCCTTAAAAACCTTTAGTTATCAGGGACGAAATTGTACCAAGATTTTGAAGTTTTTCCAAGGCAAACTGAGTTTTCTCCTTTTGTTGAATCATTCCAATGAAATCGCGAGTCTCTGTCTTTAGTGACTGAAAACCGCGTTGATCCTCTTTCTCTCCGACGTTTTTGCACATATCTGCATATAGGACAGTGGAAAACAAGAGTGCATGTGGTTTGAAAGAGGCTGGGTTACGGTGGGGAACTAGCTAAAGGTGAACTAGCCATTCAGGATCAACAAAGAGTGGTAAAGGGGTAAAGGAGTCCTGAATGTATGACTCGTTTCCCTGATCTAATGGTTTAATGAGAAAGTTAAGTCAAGATGAAGTCCAAATAAAATGAGCTAGTATATCCTGTCAGAAAGAATATCCATGAATAGAAATCCTCTGGTGGGAGTTCGTAGTGTAAGTACTCTAGCTATCGACCAATCTAGGCCTAAATCACAGAAAGAGCAAAAAACGAGGAAATAGCGTAGAAGCACACTGGTCTAAATCATCATAGTATTGTTTATTTATGTTCCTGGTTTGAAAACGTTTTGAAAAATTTTGAAAACTTTTTGAATAATTTTTTATGTCCAAAACAAACTCAAAACAAATCAAATTTCGTTAACGGATGATCATCCTCCCCCAGACTTATTTCACACTGTCCTCAGTGTGATAAAATCTAAGAAAGGATGGATAAGGAAATAGAATTTTGAAGTGTTTAGATGTACTTACCTTGCCGGAGGAATGAGTCGCGGTTGGAAGGATGGCACCATCGGTCGAAGTTTCACTGGGGCCGGAGTGATGGCCGTTTTCGGTTTAAGATTTCTTCTCGTCTTTTATTCGTTCTTCTTTATAAAAAACTGAAATTAAATGAAACAAAAACAAAGCAACAAAATAGAAAATAAAGATCAAAGGAAAATAAGTAAAATACCGAGTGGGTTGCCTCCCACTAAACGCTTGTTTTAGGTCGTTAGCTTGACTTGGTTGTCTTTTAGGTATTAGGCGCATCCGCTAAGGAGATCGAATCTTCCTTTTCTTCTTGAATGTCTGCAAGATATGGCTTAAGACGTTGTCCATTGACAGTGAAATCACCTCCTTGGAGGTTCCATAAAACCACAGCACCATATGGTAAAACTTCTTTGATCTTGAAAGGTCCAGACCATCGTGATTTAAGCTTTCCGGGAAACAATTTTAGACGTGAGTTATAAAGTAGAACCTGGTCATTAGGTGAGAACGTCTTATGAACTATTTTCCTGTCATAAAACTCCTTCGTCTTCTCCTTATAGATCTTAGAATTCTCATAGGCATTATGGCGAATCTCGTCTAACTCATTTGCCATCTGGATATCGTAATTCAGCTTTCTTATTGCCCATTCTGCCCTGATCTCTAACTCCCATGGAAGATGACAAGCCTTACCATAAACAAGATGAAAAGGTGTAGCTCCCAATGGGGTTTTGAACGCAGTTCTATATGCCCAAAGAGCATCATCAAGCTTTGCTGACCAATCTTTTCTTGTTGGTCCTATTGTCTTTTCCAGAATTCCTTTGAGTTCTCTGTTTGATACCTCCACCTGGCCACTCGTCTGTGGGTGATAAGGTGTAGCTACCTTATTTTTCACTCCATTTTTCTTCAAGAGATTCTGAAATACTCTGTTGATGAATTGAGAACCACCATCAGTGATGACGAGTCGCAGAACATCAAATCTTGGAATATGATCTACTTGAACATCTTCATTACTACTTTTGCATCTTTTGTGGGGCTGGCTATGGCTTCTATCCACTTAGACACGTAGTCAACAGCAACAAGTAAATTGATGCATCTCCTTCCACATTTAGGAGTCTCTACTTCTTATTTGTAAGCTCATAACTCCCTCTTGTCAATATAGTACCATTTTGGATTAGAATATGACTTTTCTTAAACAGAGTCACAGTTTTCTGATTTTCGTAGGAGAGTTTTGGTGTAGCTAAAGGAATAAGAAAACAAGTAAATGATGCATCTCCTTCCATATTTAGGAATCTCTACTTCCTATTTGTAAGATCAGAACTCTCTCTTGTCAATATAGTGCCATTTTGGATCAGAATATGATTTTTCTTAAACAGAGTCCCAGTTTTCTGTTTTTCATAGGCGAGTTTAAGTGTAGCTAAAGGAATAAGAAAGCAAGTAAATGATGCATCTCCTTCCACATTTACGAGTCTTTATGTCTTAGTTGTAAGCTCAGAACTCCCTCTTGTCATATAGCGCTATTTTTGATCTGAATATGACTTTTCTTAATAGAGTCCTAGTTTTTGATTATCATAAGAGAGTTTTGGTGTAACTAAAAGAATAAGAAAACAAGTAAATTATGCATCTCCTTCCACATTTAGGAGTCTCTACTTCTTATTTGTAAGCTCATAACTCCCTCTTGTCAATATAGTGCCATTTTGGATCATAATATGACTTTTCTTAAACAAAGTCCCATTTTTTTGGATTTTCATAAGAGAGTTTTGGTGTAACTAAAAGAATAAGAAAACAAGTAAATTATGCATCTCCTTCCATATTTAGGAGTCTCTACTTCCTATTTGTAAGATCAGAACTCCCGCTTGTCAATATAATTCCATTTTGGATCAGAATATGACTTTTCTTAAACAGAGTCTCAGTTTTCTAATTTTCATTGGAGAGTTTAAGTGTAGCTAAAGGAATAATAAAACAAGTAAATGATGCATCTCCTTCCACATTTAGCAATCTCTACTTCTTAGTTGTAAGCTCAGAACACCCTCTTGTCAATATAGTGCCATTTTTTTTTATCCGAATCTGACTTTTCTTAGACAGAGTCCCAGTTTTCTGACTTTTATGGGAGAGTTTTAGTGTAGCTAAAGGAATAAGAAAACAAGTAAATTGATGCATCTCCTTTCACATTTAGGAGTCTTTACTTCTTAGTTGTAAGCTCATAACTCCCTCTTGTCAATACAGTGCCATTTTGGATCAGAATATGATTTTTCTTAAACAGAAGTCCCAGTTTTCTGTTTTTCATAGGCGAGTTTAAGTGTAGCTAAAGGAATAAGAAAGCAAGTAAATGATGCATCTCCTTCCACATTTAGGAGTCTTTATTTCTTAGTTGTAAGCTCAGAACTCCCTCTTGTCAATATAGCGCTATTTTTGATCTGAATATGACTTTTCTTAAATAGAGTCCTAGTTTTTTGATTATCATAGGAGAGTTTAAGTATAGCTAAAGGAATAAGAAAACAAGTGAATGATGCATCTCCTTCCACAATTAGCAGTCTCTACTTCTTAGTTGTAAGCTCAGAACTCCCTCTTGTCAACATAGTGCCATTATTTTTATCCGAATCTGACTTTTCTTAGACAGAGTCCCAGTTTTTTGATATTTATAAGAGAGTTTTAGTGTAGCTAAAGGAATAAGAAAACAAGTAAATTGATGCATCTCCTTCTATATTTAGGAGTCTGTACTTCTTATTTGTAAAATCAGAACTCCCTCTTGTCAATATAATTCCACTTTGGATCAGAATATGAATTTTCTTAAACAGAGTCTCAGTTTTATGATTTTCATAGGAGAGTTTAAGTGTAGCTAAAGGAATAAGAAAACAAGTAAATGCTGCATCTCCTTCCACATTTAGCAGTCTCTACTTCTTAGTCGTAAGCTCAGAACTCCCTCTTGTCAACATAGTGCCATTTTTTTTATCCGAATCTGACTTTTCTTAGACAGAGTCCCAGTTTTCTGATTTTTATAGGATAGTTTTAGTGTAGCTAAAGGAATGAGAAAACAAGTAAATTGATGCATCTCCTTCCACATTTAGGCGTCTCTACTTCTTATTTGTAAGCTCATAACTCCCTCTTGTCAATATAGTACAATTTTGGATCAGAATATGACTTTTCTTAAACAGAGTCACAGTTTTCTGATTTTCGTAGGAGAGTTTTGGTGTAGCTAAAGGAATAAGAAAACAAGTAAATGATGCATCTCCTTCCATATTTAGGAGTCTCTACTTCCTATTTGTAAGATCAGAACTCTCTCTTGTCAGTATAGTGCCATTTTAGATCAGAATATGAATTTTCATAAACAGTGTCTCAGTTTTCTGATTTTCATAGGAGAGTTTAAATGTAGCTAAAGGAATAAGAAAACAAGTAAATGATGCATCTCCTTCCACATTTAGGAGTCTTTACTTCTTAGTCGTAAGCTCAGAACTCCATCTTGTCAATATAGCGCCATTTTTGATCTGAATATGACTTTTCTTAAACAGAGTCCCAGTTTTCTGATTTTCATAGGAGAGTTTTAGTGTAGCTAAAGGAATAAGAAAACAAGTAAATGATGCATCTCCTTCCACATTTAGGAGTCTTTTCCTTCTTATTTGTAAGCTCATAACTCCCTCTTGTCAATATAGTGCCATTTTGGATCATAATATGACTTTTCTTAAACAAAGTCCCATTTTTTTGGATTTTCATAAGAGAGTTTTGGTGTAACTAAAAGAATAAGAAAACAAGTAAATTATGCATCTCCTTCCATATTTAGGAGTCTCTACTTCCTATTTGTAAGATCAGAACTCCCGCTTGTCAATATAATTCCATTTTGGATCAGAATATG